TGCTTAAAGGCATGCATACACACAAACACACACACATACATTTATATATACCATATTCACATGTTTATATTTCTCTGCCGCCACTAACTCAGATAGACAATAAAGCAGTTTGATTATACACACCTTTTTATACATTTAGTTTTGAAAAATCTATTTATTTTTCTTTATTCTGACTCTTTACTTTGAATTCTTAACTCGACCTCCGAGAAGTTTTCTAAAATGATGCCAGGCTAAACTAGAAAGATACATTTTCATCTGTAGTTCCCAATAATTATTTATTACTGCTTGTCTCAATTTGTGAAAGCTTGTCATGGAGAATCCTGAGATTACAATTTGTAGAGGATCTAGAGTAAGACAAGTAACCTGGACATTATTATTTAAATCAGCATTGTTCCCATGTGGTTCTATTACCTTTACAACATCTGCAGAGTCTCTTTCTTTGAACTGTTGCTGCAGTTCAGAGCTGCTGATGGAGCAACGATGAGAATCTCTCAGCAGCTAAACGCTCACTCTGATAAGAGGAGACACACGGAACAGACTGTTTCAGCTGCTTGTCACTGTGTGTTGTTATGGTGCTGATACCCTGCGCTGTTTGTCAGGGAGCTCGCTTTACTCTGGGTGGCCTCCATGTGGCAGAAGTAGTAGTATGAAATATATGGCTTTGTTTTTGTCTGCTTGATCTCTTTTTCACACACTGCGTCATGCCTCTGGTTAAATGTCATATTCACAATTTACAGTTATGCTGTGTTGAAAGGAGACCTACAATGGGTTTTCCCTTTCTTGTAGTGTGTTATATAGGTTTTTGTGCATGTCAATGGTCGGCAAAGGTTAAAATCCTGAAGTTCCCTCCCGAGGGATTTTCTCTCCAACATGTAGAACTGACACACACACACATACATTTAGATGCACTTAACACAGTGTTCTTGCAATGACAGTATAACACATAACCTGGCTCATCATCAGATGACTCATTATGAGAATGTAATAGTTTTATTGCATGAGACATGAAGCGTGCCGATAAGACAGGAGAGGCTCCATCTCTCGGTACAGAAGACAGAGAGGAATCTGTTGAATGCCTCGAGCCTTTGAAATTCCTCTTTTCATAAGAATTCGGAAATGAAACAAACTCCATCATGACGTCCTTTGTATAAATCCATCAAGTTTTTAAATCAAAATGACGGTTTATGCCCCAGAATGCTTATTTCAGGAGAGTGTACACTTGAAGAGTTCCTTTTTACAATTTAATTTGTGACAACAATTATAGGTCCACCCTTTCTCTGTGCCTGCCAGAATGTCTCCAGGTGTAATATCTGGAGAGTTTTGAGTCTCTTGTTGGGGTCTGATTCACCTGCATTCACAGTTAGATCATCTTACTCATAACTGACAGCGTTACTGAAGACGCCGGAGCAAGAATTTAACAACATTAATTTAAACAGTTACAAATAGTAGATTGTTCTTGAACTCCCATTCATCTCCCAAGGCTTTTCAGGATTTACTCTGAGTTCAGAAGAGAATACACTTCTATAAATAAGTATCAAGCTAAATGAACCAGAGGAACATGATGTGAACTGTTCAACTGAGTGCTGTTCCTCTTTCAGGATGGTAGGGGATGCTCTGTTTTTGGAAGACTTGTTTACTACCAGCTTCCTTATTTTGATGTAACTAGCCCGTTTGTATCTCTGCTTGCTCCAGTGATTTCAAAGTTACACCTTTCATTTCATTTCATTTCAAACCTTTATTTACCCAGGTGTATCCCATTGAGATCATTGATCTCTTTTTCAAGGGAGACCTGCTCAAGTAGGTTCCACATGAAACATAAAAACATAAACAGAACAACAAAAAGGACATCTTACAGCATCATTACAGGGATTACAATTTACATAACTATCCACATAAACAGGTATCAACAGCTTCCGATTGAGTAGCATCCAACCGAGCTTTAAAAACATTTAGTGGCACCAGATTGTTCAGTTTCCATTTCAATTGCAGACTATTCCAAGACAGAGGAGCTGCGCATCTAAAAGCTGTCTTCCCTAAGACAGTCCTAGCAGTTGGCACATTTAATAAAACTACAGCATGCGATCTCAGGCAGTAGCCACTTACAATTCGCCGTGAGATCAGGGAGCAGATATAAGATGGAAGTTTCCCTAACATGGCTTTGTATATAAAAATGTACCAGTGACTGAGCCTCCGTACAGTTAGCGAAGGCAAACCAGCCCTTGCATACAGGGTACAGTGATGGGTTAATGCTTTACAGTTTGTCACAAATGTCAGTGTGCTGTGATACGCAGCATCTAACTTGACCAGGCAATTGGCAGGTGCATTCATATAGATCAGATCACCATAGTCCAGCACAGGTAAAAAGGTCACAGTGACTAGCCTTTTCCTGGCCTCAAGCGAGAAACAGGACTTGTTTCTGTAAAAGAAACCTAGCCTAACCCTCAGCTTTTTAAGCAGGTTATTTACATGACGTTTAAAAGTGAGACAATCATCAAGCCAGATACCAAGGTATTTGTAACAGGTAACCACTTCAAGTTTTATTCCTTGCGTAGTTACAATATCTAAAACAGGCTCTGGTGTCTTTTTAGCTTTTGAAAAGAGCATTACCTTGGTTTTATCAACATTTAAAAGAAGCTTTAGTTCAGAGAGCTGAGTCTGAATAATGTTAAAAACTGCTTGCAATTCAACAACAGCCTCCTTAATGGAGGGACCTGCACAGTACATCACGGTATCGTCCGCATAAAAATGTAAGGTTGCTCCATCGACATTTTCACCTAAACTATTGATGTAGATGGAGAATAAAAGTGGACCTAAAACAGAACCTTGAGGAACACCATTAGTAATGTTTAACCACTCAGAAGACAGCCCATCAAAGTGAACACATTGGGACCTTTCAGAGAGGTAGTTCACAAACCAACCCACTGCATGGCTGGATATGCCAATACTGAGTAGCCTCTACTTTAAGATGCGATGATCGACGGTATCAAACGCTTTGGATAGGTCAATAAATAGAGCTGCACAACTCTGCTTATTATCTAAAAAACTCGCCACATCATTCACCACTTTCATTGTCGCAGTGATGGTGCTATGTTGCTTTCTGAAGCCTGACTGATGTTTAGACAGGATGTTATTTGTACATAAAAACACCTTTACCTGTTCACTCACTAGGCGTTCAAGAATCTTAGCCAGAACTGATAATTTAAAGATGGGCCTATAGTTATTTAATAAGGTGGCCTCCCCACCTTTTAGTAGAGGCAGGACATACGCTGACTTCCACAATTTTGGAATTGTGTTTGAGTTGAGGGAGAGGTTAAAAAGAGTAGTGAGAGGTGGAGCAATAAAATCTGCCGCTATCTTTAAAAAGAAAGGCTCTACGCCAGCCGGTTTCTTAGGATCTAACTTGGTTAAAGCTTCACGAACAACATCAACAGTAAAAGGAGTAAAACTAAAAGAGTTTTCCAAAACATGTTTTTCAGAGTCACATACTGTAGTGTTCACAGAAGCAGAGTTAGTGACAGAATCAAACATAGAACCGCAGGACACAAAATGCTCATTAAAACAATTTAACATAGTGGCCCTGTCCGATATAGTGCCAGATGCTGTGGTAATGCACGGAGGTAGCTCATTACGGATATCACCGGTGGATATCGATTTTATGGCTTTCCAAAATTTTCCAGGATTATTCAGGTTCTTTGTGGTAACTGATAGATAATACTTAGACTTAGCACTTTTGATTTGCGATGTGAAGCTATTTCTTAGCTGCCTAAAGCGTAGCCATTCTACCTCTGAGCCTGATTTCCTAGCCTTTGCCCAGGCCTTGTTTCTCTCATGAAGGAGACTAGATAATTCAGCAGAAAACCAAGGATTGTCTCGTCCCTTCACTCTAAATGTACGCAGGGGTGCATGTCTATCTATAATTTCCATAAAACCAAGATAAAAATAAGACCATGCAGTTTCTACATCAGCACACAGATCGATTTTTCCCCAATCAAAATCAAAACCCTGCTCCACAAAATGCTTTTTGTCTCTCTTACTGATAATGCGAGGTTTACCCTCACCTGACTGTCAGATAGATTAGAATTAGACACTGGGAATAATCCACAAAAAATAGGTGATTTCAACTGCTGCTTTATTCTAGTATGTGTTGCAGGGGTTATAAGAAACTAGAAATATTGGACATCAAAAAAAGAAAAGCCCTCAGTTCTTGTTGTTTAAACCATGAGCAGCAGAACATGTTTTCCTCAGTCTGGATCTTAGAGAATAACATTTGGAGTTGTTGTCTTTCAATTCAAATGATTTGCAACTAACCAAGGGGGAACATGTACGTATAACTCGGGGTTGAGCAGGAGACAAATTAGAAGTCAGGTTCTTAAAATGAACTCATGCTACTTTGAGGCATGTTAAGGTCAAAACCTTTCCCTAAAACGTAATCAATCATTAATCAATACTAAAATCATGCTGCAGAGGGTTTGGATGGTTTTTTCTGTAGATTTTGGGGAGAAACTACATCTATACAAATGTGGAGAAGTACAACAAAGAGACACAAATAAATACATCAAACAATTAACTAAACATGTGGAATGTAGAGTGAGAGATGTTATAGTGTGAAAAATACTGTCAAAACAGTCTAATGGATAATAAACATACAACTTTTGTTTTTGTTTTCATATGTAATTTGTTGTTGTTGTCATTAGTATTGCACCAGATTAAGGTCATCTAAATAAATAAATAAATGTTTTATCAACCAAATATCTAAGGTGAAACAAAGAAACTAATCAGATATTATATACTATATATAATTGAAAAAGTAGAAATCATGCATGATAATGAACACTCATCTGAACTATTAACGTTCAATTTAGATTTTGACTTGACTGAGTTTAACTCATTTTTTGTGGTAATTTTCTGTTTTGCACATGTCTGTGTTACACCCCCTTTTGACAGCTACGGGACCGTCCTTTTTGGACACTTCCTGCTTTTTGAGCTCGAGCTGCAGCGTGCGTGTCCCGGGCTAACGGGCTGGGTGGTTGTTTGTCGCAGCAGTGTATTTGTGTGCATTTAGGACTACAGCTGCTGCTGGGACGGACATATAGTAGCCTGTGTCATTATCACCATCTCCTTATCGTGTATTTGAGCAAGGAGGAAATGAGGCGTAGCGTTCCGCTTTAAGGGTGCAAGGGAGACGTAAGAAACCCCGAATTCAAACAGGTGTCCGGTCGACTCCCATCAGGAGGAAGAGAGAGGAAGGTGACAAAAGGCGCCGGAGGGATATTGGGATTAATTGTCGAGAAATAGTGCTGTTAATAGGCAAATCAATCCGCTAATTTGAGGACGTGTCATTTCTTTTTTTTAAACCCTGCGCTTTGGTCCAACGGTGATGGAGACCCGACATGGAACCCAGAAGAAACCTAGATTTTAATGTCGGAATTATCTTGGTAAAATAAAAAGATAGCTAAGCGTGCATCTGCGTTGCTCTCAAGAGGAGGAAGAGGAGGTGGTTGAAGAGGGGAGGCGGTGACTGACGTCCCCCACGGGACAGGCCGAGCGACCCACGCTTCTAACAGGTGTGTCTGAAGAGGGCTCCACTCTGCACCGCCCGTCCTGCCGCTCCGTGCCCCCTCCCTGCCTGCCTCCCGGTCCCTTCTCGTGTCATATTGTTCCTGCAGAAATTGCATCCGAACAGGGGCCGGGTTTGGACTTTAATTCGGCCGTTTTTGGCATCCCCAGTGAGCGCTTATTCTTTTTCTTGTTTCCGTCTCTTCGCAGCTATCCGTTGGTGCGTATAACAACTGAGCAGGATATCCAAACGGCTAATTTTGAGACGTTAATTTATAAAAAAAACGGATGGGACTTTGCAGCGTGTTCGTATTTTTTGAGGAAAAGAGACAATTTAAAGGGTTTAACTAGTCGAGCTAAAGGGAAGATTTGAAGATTTTGTTGAATTTGTTTCACCATAATTGGAAGGTTTGTACTGATTTTGCCCCCTGGTGAAAAGGCACCGTTGGTACTGTGGTTTCGGCGACGTTCGCTAGCCAAACCGAACCCTGAGATATTTTTACCGGAAAAACAAAGTGGGCCTTTTATCGGACTATTTTGTTAAAACAAAGTGCACCTCGTTTTATCATGACAACGAGGAAAGCCAACAGTGTGGCGGACACGGTGACTACCTCCACCAGCAGCAGCAGCAGCACCACCACCACCAACCACCAGAACCAGCCGAGGAGCCGGAGTCCCAGCAGCGGGGTTCCCGGTGCCGAGGCTGCGGGCGGAGGGGCGGAGATGTTCGGTGCATTTCAGGACTGGTGCCTGCGGACGTACGGTGACACCGGCAAGACCAAGACCGTGACCCGGCGTAAATACAACAAAATCCTCCAGACTCTGGTCCAGGGGGACGAGGAGAACAGCAATGGGGTGTTCCTGCACGAGAAAGGCAACAACCACATCAACGCCAAATTTAAATTCTGGGTCAAGTCCAAGGGCTTCCAGGTCGGGACGCTGCGGGACGAGAAGAACGGGTCATCGGACAGACCGGTGCTGTACGTGCCCATCAAGGCGACGGTTAGTGCATCTTCCTCTTTCACTCTGAGTGATGTGTGTGTGTGTCCTGTTCCACGTTGCGTGCGTGTCCATCCAGAAGAGGCTACCCTTATTTGCCTAGAGAAAAAAGGTCTCTAGTGTGTGTGTGTTTTCGCACGAACAACATAACTTTTCCTGGCTCATTGCCATGGCTACAGCAGACACCTGTTCCAATACAGAGCTGAGCCTGTTAGTGGTTTTGCACTGCTAGCCTACTTTTTATTTTAAAACCCACATTTTTTTTGTTATGAGCCTGTCCCAGTTGACTGACAGACAATATACTGGTTAAGCTACAGACAACGTTGTACTAACAATGCACATTTCATCTGGTAATCAATCTGTTAAAAATATACATTTGTCAGTCGTTTTGTGACTGCCAGCATATGTTAATTTTAATGAGATGAAACCAAGGAAGGGAAACAACTATTGGCATTTAACAGGCTTCAACCCCTCATTCTATAAATATCTACACATCACTAAACTTATTTATTCTGTTATGAAAAGGAAAATTGTAAAGACAGAAGTCTTCAAAAAAGCTTGCAGCTTATGTGTCTGTAGTAGAGTTTGGTTTAGCACTGCTGGGTGTCCCGATTGAAGTTGATGAATTATCTGTCAATCTTGCCCATCACTAAAAGGGATGATATCATGATTATCTGTCTCATCTGCCCTCTTTTCACTCTAGTATTGACATTTGACCCCAGAGTTCCCCAAGTGACCCATTTTGAGCTACTTAATACTCACCTTTCTTGCTTTAATTTAATTTAAAGGTTGAATGCTTCCCCATTAAATTAAGAGTGGCTGCGTATTAGGAATCTAGGTATGCTGTTTGTGACCACACAGGGTAAAGTCACATATTTGGACACAGGTATTTTACAAATGAACCTGTTTTTCTTAAATTAGCTAACTTCAACCAGATGTGATGTTAGGTGTGATAGTTAGCTTCTTTGCCTTCTTCAATAATGACGTTTGTTGTGTCTGCACAAAGGTGCAGTTTTCTTGCTGCTAAATGTTTCATGAAGTTGATATAGACTTCATCATTATGATTTACAATCAGTAAGTTATTCACTGCAGCAAAACAATGTGAACATTTTGTGGTTTATCATTCAAATATATTTGTTAAGGATGTGCACAAATGATGCCGCCTTTAAAAACACCTACTCGTAATCATAAGCAAATTATGAATGATTGTTACAGTCAAAATCTTATGAAAAGGACACATTACAATTGTTGGGCTGATTATCAACATGATCTGGTTAGTGCTTAAATAATTGGTTGATGCATTCATTGATGAGTGCAACAAATCCAAATATTCACTGTTTCAATCCCTCGAATGTGAGAATGTACTTACTTTTATATCTTTTAGGTTTCTTATGTTCTGGATTGGTTGTTTCAGAAAACAAGCCAATTTGTGATGAATTTGTCATCGTATTCTGACATTTTACACATGGAAATATTAATAAACAAATACATTGTTGCATCTTTCAATTTCAATGACAGTCTTTGCTGCCCATGACTCTCATCATCAACCATTTCATCTACTGTATATTTGTCTTTTTTAATGAAAATGTGTTTTTGTCTGTTCTAACATCATGACTTTTGCTGTGATTCTAAGCAGAATCCTCTCTATTTCCAGCCATAAGTTGGTAATTGTATGTAGCTATTGAAAAAAAGGTGTTGCAGGAGCGCATTTATTGCTTTACTCTTTATTTTTCTCTTGTGGCCTACGCATTGTTGGTGTTTTCAAAAGCAGAGAGCACTTGTTGACAGTGGAGAGCAGTTTGAGTGGGATGACACACAAATATATGAATGAAAGGAAAGAAAATGTTCTTATTTCTGAAATTGCAAAACGCTATTTATATATAGAAGTGATTCAGTCTGTCTGTATTTTCAAACAGATAGTGAGTCTGTGGAGAGCTGGGTCAAAATGATTTAGTTTTATATCTGCAGACTGGAATCAGGGGTTGGTCACACACACACACACACACACACACACACACACACACACACACACACGCACACACGTAGGTAGGTAGGTCGGTCGATGTGATGCAGGATTGCTGTGGAGATGAGAAGTGTTTGAGGTGCTGGTTGGCATGGTTACCACTTGGCTAATTTCACCCTGTCCCATATCATTTCATATTCAGATTAATATCAGGAGCATCGCAGCCGGGACTGGGAATCCTCTTGCACAGTTTATCTTCTGTTAATCCCTCTGAGTGTGTGTGTGTCTGTATGTGTGTGTTTCTCATCCTTGGCAGCAGCAGTTTTGTTGAGTCTGTTCAGTATCTGAGGATTGGGCTGTTGAGACTGCAGAAAGAAAGAAATCCCGTGAGTTTTCTCCTGAACTTAAACTGAGTATGCGTCTGTGTTCTGCTCCTAAACAAAACTGTACCGATGTTGTAAAGAAATCTCCAGAGCATGGATGTTTAAGCTAGTCCTCTTTTAAATTAGGCTATTGTAAGGATCCCCCAGATACAAAAAACAAACATATTTTCTCACTTCCCCTCTAGTGGTATCTAGCAGTGCAGATTGTTTTAGTCACATTTAGTTTGAAACATTTGTCTTTGCTGCCACCTCAATAACAATGGATGTGGTTAGTCTTGAAAATCCAGAGAAATTCAAAATGTCAATGCCTGGTTATCATTTGATAATGAGTCGTTATTGTATGATCAGTTTCTACTTAAAAAAAATCAAACAATGGAGCTCTATGGTACAGAGGAAGAATATTAATGAGGTTTCGATACACAGACAGCACTTGTTAGTACACATTAGATGTTGGTTTTGGGCTTAGCAATAAGACGAATAAATACTATCACTAGTCATTTCTTGAGAGTCCCGTATGACCAGTGTATCTGCACAGTTACACAATGAGCAACTTGTCATACTCATCAGCTTTCCCTGTACATGCAAAACACAACAGTCAAGGCATTATGTCTTTAGCAATACAGGAAGTAAACATCAGATGACGGTAAATGGTAGCGACAGCAGGAAAGTGTCATTTTGTGTTTCAAAACTGTCAGCATGTTGGTTTCAAGAGCAATCCGTTGTGCAGATTGAAGCTCAAGTCCTCTCATCTCCTACCTGTTGAGCAATGTGAGAAATACATGCCAAACTGTTGAACTACACGGGGTCCTAATGCTGTGTTTATGGCTCAAATCAGCATCCTGCTTTCTTTCTGTCTGCGCCCTGCTGAGAGGGGTATGACCTGACTACAGCAACAGCTGATCAGACACTGTTTACACACTGGTACACAAACAGCATGTGTGTGGGAGACAAAGAGATATCACTCGGCTGAGGTATAAAACAATGTAGGGATGTTTAAATTGGAGACAAAAAGGTTGAGGACACAACAGTATCATTACTCTACCTGAGGGACTTGAGATTTACTTTGGAGCCAGCTCTTAACACATGTAAAACACACAGGTGACACTCATGACAGCTTGGAAGAAATCAGAACAGACACAGGAGGCATATCAGAAGACTGATGAAGAATATTAATCAGGTAAAGTGACAAAGAACTGACACTGATTCCTCCCCTTTGTTTGCATTCATTACTCCCTGTCTGTTATACACACGCTCTTAACCCATATATTGGCCTTTTGAATGGATTTGCGCTGCAGCTTTATCGTTTTGGCTTTATTTCCAGTTTCATGTTAAGTACTGAATTAATGTCTATACACAGCAGCCCCGACCTTTTGAAAATGATAAGCTCAAGAACTAGTATGCATCATAGATGTGAAAGTGTGCCAAAGATGCATCTTATGTTTGGAGGATTAGATTGTGTTCTGTACCAAGAGATACAAATATGTATTATCCATGGGATTTAGTTTATTTTGTAGAAGCAGTTACACAGTGCTTATTCCTGCTTCAGCCATTTAAAATGTGCTTTTACCAGTTAAGTATTCTGAACATTCTTACAAACATATCGGCAAATTATTGTCTAAGGAAATAGTACAATTTAATTGATTTGAGTTTTGAACTGAAATGCATTGTGAGTTTTAGGAATTTAGGATTTGGATTTTATGCTTTTTTTGACAATTTATTGACAATCTAAGTATTTAGGTTTGAAAAATACTGGCTGATTATTTGATTCTGAAAGTTACCACGAGTGTTTTCCTTTCTTATAAATTGTTTTGGTCCGGAGAACCCATAGTTCTGTACCAATTTGATGACAAAACTGTGAAAATGTTACAACGCTTGTTTTTAACAGCGCTGCAGGTACTGTGGGTACCCGGGGGATCGGGACTAATGACGTGGCGTTGATGCGTTAACATTCAAGAGGAAATAACATTTAAATTTGATTCTGCTTATACCTAAAGCACACAAGTTGACCGGCCCTACTGCTGGATTTCCTCTCTGCTTTCTGTCAGATATCTGCTGCTGGTGCAACAGTATTCCAACCTTTATAGAGTGCTGTTGTGCTGAATGGGGATGCATTGTTTTCTCTGTATGTTTTGTGGTATCTAGTTGGCATCGAGAAATGGCGAAGTGGATTTTTACTTCAGTGACCGAGGGAACTGGGTGCTTTAAAAACCCACGAATACATCTAAATTCTTGTTTTTTATTGGCCTTCAGGTACCTGTTACAGTTTTATAATGAGACATCTCAACCATTTCTCCTCCACATTTGAATTAGATTTCTAAATCAGACCACAAGGTATATTAAACTGCCAGGTATCCATAGCAACAGTACTTTGAATTCATGCTATGTTAACAGTTAACTATAAACATGACTATTTGAACACGCCATGAAATTAAGAGAGGTAACACACTGTTTCAGAAAAGGACCGAAGCGTTATGGAGTCTAACATGATGCTGTGTGTTCGGCTGCCTCAAGGTGCTGTTGTGTTTTTAGTTTTTTTCAAATTCAGCCAGGGTCGTGTGCTACATTTCATCATCCTCTTCAGTTCACTACCACCAAGTAAATATGGCAAGTTATTAAAAATGAGGGTATGTAACACAAGTTCACTAAAATGGCTGCTG